AATTTGTTCTTTCTTTTGAGGCCAAAGAGATAACCTTACAACTCCCTCAAGAATATACCCCAATTCTTGAGAACACTCTTTTCTCAAAGAGAAATACAAATTTGCAAACTTACAAGAAAAACCTCACAAGGCAAATATGTTTGCACAATTCTAGAACAAAGAAAGAATACTCAAGAATAAATACAATTGAGCACAATAAGTGTTCTTGAAAGCAAAATGAATATTGAATGAAAAATAGGCTTGAAATGCTCAAACTTGAGGTTTGATGCTTTCTCTTTGATTCTCTCTTGATTCTAATTGCTTGATGTTTCTTTTTGTTGATCAATGGCTTCTAAACTTGTTTAAATACTCATTGAATCAATTCTGAACGTTGGTGATAATTAGTGGAGTCAATAGAGCCGTTATTATGTGAAAACAATTAATTTTCTGGGTGGGAGCGTCTCATGCATCGATGCATGACCATTATGCATCGGTGCATCAGTGTAAACTTTCAAATATTTTGACCGTTGGACTCCTAGTGCATCGGTGCACTAAGAGTGCATCGATACATGAAGTGCATTCGATGTTTGAAAAATAGCCTGGTGCATCGATGCATCAAATGCATTCGATGTTTTAATTAAATCAGAGTGCATTGATGCATGGAGAGTGCATCGGTGCATGGAATGCATTCGATGTTTCAATTTATTCATTGATGCATCGATGCATGGTATTGATGCATCGGTGCATGCCTTTGAAAAATTGATTTAAGGCTTGATTTTGGTTCAAAATACTTTGTGAAAATTGTTTCAAAAATAGTTTAAGTACAAATCACAATTTTACACATTTAGTAAGGATTAAAATTGATCTTCAAAGACTTGGAGTAATAATTTGATATTCGATAAATTGAATCGAATATAAATTGTAAAATCATTTGTAAAAATCTTAAAATTCATTTAACTTAATTTGTTATATCGAAATATCAAAAAAATTTTTAACAATCTCCCCCTTTTTGATGTAACAAAACACTTGGGAAATTTTAAGATTTAGAAAATTATTTTTGAAATCAACTTTTGAAAAATTACTCCCCTTTACTATGACACACATATTCTCCCCTTTTTTGTTAAATCAAAAAGACTCTATAAAACGTTTTAAACAAGAATGTTTTGAAAAACTTAAGCCAATTGATTTATTAATTATAAGCTACTAAGATCACAATCAAAAGAGAGGTTAGCCATTAGTTTCATATAAATCAATATCATATAACATGCAATGGATAATTGGTCATATATGTCTAATGATGCAAAATAAGAAAATTTAACCAAACCAAATATATATATTAAGTTCAAGCATCCATAAATATAAAATAAGTCCAAACATTCAACAACCAATCAAAGTCAAAGTATCCAAAAACAAACAAACCAGAAATATCAAAATCATTTTAAATTTAAGAAAGCATGACAAGAAATACAAATCTACTCCATCGGAGGATCGAGAGGAGAAGGATAATGAGCTCGAACTTCAAGAGTCAGAGCATCCATACGATCACGCATCTCCCTCTGAAACTCAGTAATCTGAGACTCCATGGAAGCAAATCGTAGATCAAATGCCTCTTAAAAATATTGGAAATAAGGTGGTGTTTAATCTTCTTGTCGAGCGGGTTCCGGTGCATTAGTTGGATCGTCAATATCTTGAAATATCCCTTGAAGCTCGGGATCAACATTCGCAGCCGGAGGAGGAGGAGGAGCACGAGAAGAACTAGTTCCCGGAGTTTGTTTATTTGGTCGGAAGACCCAAAAACTGGTGCGTTCATCTTGAACCCAATCTGCTTTCTTTAAATAAGTGAGATTGATTTGATTTTGGAGAGGAATGGGAGTGTCGAGAGAAACGTCTAGACCAAATTTGATAAACATGTTACTAAGTAGACATCCGTAGGCTAATGTTTCAACATGTGTAGAAGGAACAATGTTTATGATGTCTACTAGTTGACTAAAAATGACCTGTGGAAGATTTATTTTGATTTTATTTTTAATACATATATCCACCATAAATCCCTAGCACGTAGAGTGGAGTACCTACCAGTAGAAGGACGAAACCACCAAGAAATAATAAAATGAAGGAAACGGTCGTGATGGGTTCGAAGGGTACTGACACTATCATTAGGAGTATAGGGATAAGCCACAGATTCTTTTTCGTCAAACACACCATCATCATCTAACCCGAAATGAGAGAAGCAGTTGCGGAATCAACAACAATGTACTGTCCTAGAAGATAGGATCTAATTCCGATGGTTCCACATTGGGTTTGATTTTGAATACAGACTGCATTGGAATAGAAAATGCGGACTAATTGGTGGAAGGCGATAGGTTGAAGCGAAAAAAGTTTATCAAACTTCCATTGTTTAAGAATTGGGAGGTATTCAAAGTCAATTTTGTTCATGGCTTGAAGCGAGGGAATACGTTCTTCCCGAATTCTATAGGACTGGAATGACTCAATGTATCTATTGTAAAGGTCGTTTCTACGACGCTCTGGCATATTGAAACATGAACTCAATAGGCCACTCGAAGTTTGAGGAACGAGATTAGAAGGTAGAGGAACGGAAGGACGATGTGAACGACTAGAGGAAGTCCTAGGACGTTTAGGATTAGACATGGTAAAGGAGTCGGAATAAGAAATATAACCTGCAAATTGAAAACACATGTATGTGCAATAATCAATCCCAAAACTCAATTGAGTCCTTAATAATTCAAGGTTCTCTAAACCGAATCCTAATGGGCAAGGTTTTGAAAAACTCTTTGAAAATAATGTTTGTAAAATTATAAGATGTATCAAAAACATCAAATTTAAAAATTAATTTCAGAATTTTGAATTTTTTTTTCGAAAATTAAAAAAAAAATCTTGAAAATTTGTGAGTTTTTGATGAAATTAGTTGTAAAATTGAGTTTCTAATCATCAAACAATCAATGCCCGATATAATGTTCATCCTAGAACTAATCAGAACTAGTTCTAAAATCAAAAATCAATAAAGTAGCTGTTTTTGAAATATTAACTTGAAAATTTCGGATTGAGAGGGATGAAGAGATGTTTTGCACGATTTGATGATAAAAGCAGGTTTGGGAGATGAAAAACTTGAAGAATCTGACAAAAAATCGTTGATTTTGAGCAAGAATGGAGTTTTTAGATAGAAAGGGATGAATGGTTGAGGGAGTGTTTAAAGGGTTTTGAGAAAAAATAAAGAGAATCAGGGTTTTTAACCAAAAACCCAACGGATGCATCGGTGCATCATATGGATGCATCGATGCACATTCAAAGGGATGCATCGATGCATTGTTAAGTGCATCGGTGCATTAAGCACAAAAATGTCAAAAATCCATTTTAAACACTTAAAATGCTAAATTATTTGGCTCTAGTGGTATTGGCAACTCATATATCAAAATTAATTATGTTCAATCTATCAAATTAATCTTTAAACTTTATTTGAACATAATTTTAATTTTTACTAAGAATCATAAACTCCCCTAACTGATAGCAAGAATGTAATCAAAGATTATTATTATAAGCAATTTTCAATATTTATTAAAAGTGCTAAAATTATTTTAAACACTAAGTGAAGATAGGTCAGATAAACCTAATTCTCTCCTAAGTGTCCAAAATCTTTCCTTATCTAAGGGTTTTATAAAAATATCCGCTAATTGGTGCAAAGTATCAACAAATTCTAGAGTTACATCTTCTTTAGCGACATGGTCTCTAATGAAGTGATGTCTAATTTCAATATGTTTAGTTCTAGAGCGTTGGATGGGATTTTTAGTGAGACAAATAGACTAGTATTGTCACACTTGATAGGAATAGTACTTAATTCAATTCCATTATCTAAAAGTTGTTGTTTCATCCATAAAACTTGTGCACAACAACTACCAGCTGAAATGTATTCTGCTTCAGTGGTAGATAATGCAACACAATTTTGTTTCTTTGAAAACCAAGAAATTAGCATATTTCCAAGGAATTGGCAAGTACCGGAGGTGCTTTTCCTATCTAATTTGCATCCTCCATAATCCGCATCTGAGAAGGCATGCAAGCTAAAGCTAGAGTCTCTAGGATACCAAAGTCCTATACTAGGAGTGTCCTTAAGGTATCTAAAGATCCTCTTAACAGCTAGTAAATGTGATTCTTTAGGACATGATTAAAACCTAGTACACAAGCAAACACTAAACATAATATCCGGTGTACTTGCGGTTAGATAAAGCAATGAACCAATCATGGATCTATATAATTTAACATCCACACATTTACCTCCTTCATCCAAGTCAAGCTTTGTAGAAGAACTCATTGGAGTGGCATAGGGTTTCCCATTTTCCTATCCAAATTTCTTGAGCATATCCTTGACGTACTTAGCTTGATTGATGAAGATGCCATCTTTTCTTTGCTTGATTTGGAGTCCCAAGAAATATGAGAGCTCCCTCATCATGCTCTCAAATCACTTTGCATTAGTTTAGAAAATTCTTGGCAAAGAACATCATTAGTAGAACCAAATATTATATCATCAACATAAATTTGAACTACTAATAAATCTTTACCTTTATTCTTCAAAAACAATGTAGTGTCAACCTTCCCTTTTGAAAAACCTTTTTCAATTAAAAAATTTGACAATCTTTCATACCAAGCTCTAGGAGCTTGCTTTAAACCATAAAGAGCTTTTGTCAATTTTAAAACATGATCCAGAAAATTTGTATCTTCAAAACCTGGAGGTTGTTCCACATACACTTCTTCTTTTATAAAACCATTTAAAAATGCACTTTTAACATCCATTTGATATAATTTAAATTCATTGAAACATGCAAATGCTAATAACATTCTAATTGCTTCCATCCTAGCTACGGGAGCGTATGTTTCATCATAGTCTATGCCCTCTTCTTGAGTATACCCTTGAGCAACAAGTCTAGCCTTGTTTCTCACTATATTACCACTCTCATCAAGCTTACTCCTAAATACCCATCTAGTACCTACAGTAGATTTATTACTAGGCCTTTCAACTAATGTCCATACTTTACTTCTCTCAAATTGATTTAACTCTTCTTGTATAGCAATAATCCAATGTTCATCATTTAATGTTTCTTTAATATTCTTAGGCTCAATGCATGAGATAAATGCAACATAATTACAAATATTTCTAAGAGAAGATCGAGTTGTTACCCCTTTGGATGGATCACCTATAATTTCACCATCCTTGACATAGTTGTACTCTCTTGGATAAGATACTTCCCTTTCTTCAATGGTTGGATTCTCAAGAGGATCATGAGTTTCCTCATTTTTCGTTTCTTCCTTTGATGATGGTTCTCTAACGTCATTTGAATTTATAACACCTACATCATCATTCACACAAGAATCCTTCCTCGGAAGGGGATTATCATCGAAAACAACATGTATAGACTCTTCTACAACTAAAGTTCTTTATTAAATACACGATAGGCTTTAGAATTTAAGGAATAACCCAGAAAAATTCCTTCATCACTTTTAGCATCAAATTTGCCAAGGTTTTCTTTACCGTTGTTTAAAACAAAACATTTACATCCAAAAGGGTGAAAATAACTAATGTTAGGCTTTTTATTTTTGAAAATTTCATATGGAGTTTTCTTTAAAATTGGCCTAATCATTACTCGATTTACAACATAACAAGCGGTATTTGTGGCTTCCGCCCAAAAATATTTTGGCAAATTATTTTCACAAAGCATGGTTCTAGCCATTTCTTCTAAAGTTCGATTTTTCCTCTCAACAACTCCATTTTGTTGAGGGGTTCTAGGTGCTGAAAAATTATGTCTAATACCGTTAGAGTTACAAAATTCAGTAAATCTAAGATTTTCAAATTCAGTTCCTTGATCACTCCTAACACTAGTTATAGAGTAACCTTTTTCATTTTGGATTGCTTTTGAAAATGTGATGAATTGTTCTAATGCTTCATCTTTAGTACTTAAAAATAGAACCCAAGTATATCTAGAATAGTCATCTACCAAGACAAATGCATATTGTTTTCCACCCAAGCTAGTAGTTCTAGTTGGCCCAAAAAGATCTAAATGGATCAATTATAAAACTCTACTAGTTGATACATCATTAATGGATTTAAAAGAAACTCGCTTTTGTTTTCCTATAGCACAAGCATTTATAGATTTTATCATTATCAAATTTAAGCTTAGGCAACCCTCAAACTAAATCACCTTGAATTACCCGTTGCAAAACACTCATACTAGCATGTCCTAGTCTCCTATGCCATAACAAATCATCATGCTCATCCCTAGAAACTAGGCACAAAATAGTCATATTAATAAAATCTAAATGCATCATGTATATATATATATCCCTATTTTATGACCAACAAGCATAATCGAAAATAGATGCAATGTTAATCAATTTTGCAATCATTTAAAATAAAACATTGTATCTTTTATCAAATTTATTTTTCAAAAGATTATGCTTTTAACACATTCACATATAAAACATTATGCAATGTTGATTATAGAGATTAAGAGAACATGCATAAAGTTTTTGAAAATGTTATGCATTAAAACTTTATAATATTTAAACAAAAAATCTATGCATAAACATTAAGAAAAAATTTCAGGTCAAAATTTTGCAAAACCAAAGTTCTTGAAAAATCGATATCAATTGTTAAAGAGATATCAATTACTTTTTAAAAAACAATTTTGACCAAAAATTAATATGATGAACTAGTTTATAAAACATTACCATGTTCATCATACAATATTTTTCAACATACATGAGATAAAACATAATTCAACATTTTAAAACCTTATGCTTGCATAAACTAAATGAGCAACCAAATAATAAAAACATTAAGTTTAGAGGTTACCCATTCCCTTTTTATGTGTAGCTTAGAGCATCTTGAATATCATCATCTTTATCACAATTGCTCTCACACACCTATAAGAGACATTTAAGTAGATTTTGGTATCCAAATTGCTTTGGATCCTTGAACATTAGTTTCAATGCCTCTTGTTCCTTTTGGAACCCATACTTGTCTAATTTTAAATCGTTTTCCTTTCTTTAAAGGACAAGTTATCCTTATGACCATGATAATGACAATGTGAACATATTGTCATTATTGAACTAGATTTATTTAGAATGATCTTTTTCTCTTGTTAAACATTCAAGCTTATCTTTCAAATTGAAATTTTCTTTTTCAATACTTTCAAATTTCATTTTTGAGAGTTCTAAATACTTCTTCAAGATTTCATTTTGATTTTCAAAATCCATTTTCATTTCTAGAAGAAGTTTGTTTAATTTGAAAATTTCTTTTTCAAAGTTTTCATATTTTATTTTTGAAAGCTCTAACTCCTTTCTCAACATTTCATTTTGATTTTCCAAGTCTGTTTTAGCTTTCAAAAGAAGATCATTTTTAGCAATAAATTTATAAATCAATTTATTGTATTTGGAGTTCATGGTCTCAAACTCCAAAAATAATTTATCATAAGCATCTTGTAACTCATTAAAAGATTTTGAATTTGATATATTTGAGTTAGAAGATACCTTTGGCTCTATGAGAGCTAATAAAGACATCACTTTTATTGGTTTCTTCTTCCTTGTCTCTATAGATCTCCTCAAGCTTATCCCACATTTCCTTGGCACTTGAACAAGAAGAAACTCCTTTATATATATTAGGATCAATTGCACAACACAACATGTGCATAGCCTTTGAGTTTTGTTGAGCTTCCTTCCGTTCTTGAACACTCCACTTCTTTGCCTTCTTAGTAGGAGAGGAATATCCTTTCTTGATTATCATCAAAGCTTCCATATCAAATGCTTTGATGAATATCATCATACACCTCTTTCAATGACGATAATTTGTTCCATTAAAGTGTGGAGGCACGTCAATAGGTCTGGATTCTTCCATGGAGAATAAACCAGAAGTAGACGCCATCTTTATCGATTTAACTCTTCCCGGATCGACTCAAGAGGCGATTAAACCTTCAAATGAGTAAAGCTCTGATACCAATTGTTGAGTTAATCAATTGATGGAATCGGCCAAGAGGGGGGTGAATTGGCAATAAATATTTTGGTGGAAGCTTTTGCAGAAAATTGAAAGAAATTGCACAGCAATTTAGAGTGGTTCGACTTTATCAACCAAAGTCTACGTCCACTACCTTAGCTATCCACACTAAGGATTTTCCAACAAATTCACTAATTTGTTCTTTCTTTTGAGGCCAAAGAGATAACCTTACAACTCCCTCAAGAATATACCTCAATTCTTGAGAACACTCTTTTCTCAAAGAGAAATACAAATTTGCAAACTTACAAGAAAAACCTCACAAGGCAAATATGTTTGCACAATTCTAGAACAAAGAAAGAACACTCAATAAATACAATTGAGCACAATAAGTGTTCTTGAAAGCAAAATGAATATTGAATGAAAAATAGGCTTGAAATGCTCAAACTTGAGGTTTGATGCTTTCTCTTTTATTCTCTCTTGATTCTAATTGTTGGATGTTTCTTTTTATTGATCAATGGATTCTAAACTTGTTTAAATACTCCTTGAATCAATTCTGAATGTTGGTGATAATTAGTGGAGTCAATAGAGCTGTTATTGTGTGAAAACAATTAATTTTCTAGGTGGGAGCGTCTCATGCATCGATGCATGACCATTATGCATCGGTGTAAAATTTCAAATATTTGACCGTTGGACTCCTAGTGCATCGGGCACTAAGAGTGCATCAATGCATGAAGTGCATTCGATGTTTGAAAAATAGCTGGTGCATCGATGCATGGATTGTGCATTGATGCATCAAATGCATTCGATGTTTAATTAATCAGAGTGCACTGAGCATGGAGAGTGCATCGGTGCATGGAATGCATTCGATGTTTCAATTTATTCATTGATGCATCAATGCATGGTATTGATGCATCGGTGCATGCCTTTGAAAAATTGATTTAAGGCTTGATTTTGGTTCAAAATACTTTGTGAAAATTGTTTCAAAAATAGTTAAGTACAAATCACAATTTACACATTTAGTAAGGATTAAAATTGATCTTCAAAGACTGGAGTAATAATTTGATATTCGATAAATTGAATCGAATATAATTGTAAAATATTTATAAAAATCTTAAAATTCATTTAACTTAATTTGTTATATCGAAATATCAAAAATGTTTTTAACATGACCCCACACTACACCATGATGCCTACCCCTTTTTGTGTGTTTGATGATTGTGTATTGTATATGATGATGCTTAGTTGCATGATATTGTGGTTAGATACCCAATAAGCGTATACTCATGAAGAGGCCCTTAGCGGTAGATTAAGGGAAGTATGAGCCTTATACCATTATGATAGTGGATGTAGTTTGGATAGATGACTATGTAGAATTGATGGTTTAGTATTGCTTCTCTAACTATACTAGTTAGTATTCTTATGTTATGAATTCATGTAGTATAGTAGATGTATTATGTTGTGCGAGGTTTTCAAGCTCAACGTTTAGAATATGATTCCGTTCACAGGTTATAGGTAATGTGGAGTGTGATGGGATAATGGTTATCACTATCAGCAGAGGAGTACTAGAGTAAAACAATGACAGCTTAACGAGCATGTAGAGGCCATGATTTGAAATGAGTCAACTTATCATATTTAATTATTTATTGAGAAAATAACCTCAGTGACCAAAAATCCCATATAATATACGATTTTAACCAACTTTTTCCGGATTTGCCAAAATGACCAACAAAATCGCAATGCGATCGCTAATTCGCAACGCGATCTCCATTATCGCAAATCAGTTTCCAGATTCGTAACGCGATTATGACTATCGCAATGCGATTTTCCAATTTCGCGTTGCGATTTTCCCAATTCGCAATGCGAATAAGTAAATCGCAATGCGAATTTGGAAAATCACAATGCTATACTGACTATTGCAACGCAATAATACAAAATCGCAACGCGATACTGACTTTCGCAACGCGATACTGACTTTCGCAACGCGATTCTGACTTTCGCAACGAGATAATACATAATCGCAATGTGATTTTCAAAGCGCCATTAGTATAGCAACGCGTATTTTATTTTTAAATTCCAAACATGAATATTAATATATTGAACACTGAACCGTCCACAGTATCCCGTAATCACAACCATACCTAAAACCTAAAATCACAACTCAGTCCCATCTCCATCTCTCACTCTCTCACCCATCTCCGACGAAATCCATCCCCATCTCCGACGAAATCTGTCTATCTCCATCTCTCAGAGCCACTCTCACAATCAGAAATGGAAAATCAACCAAATCAACCACCGAGGGTTAGTTTTTTTAATTATTTTCTTTTTGAAATTTTTGCATTATTATTAGGTTTTTCATATTGAAATTGATGATAGGTTTAGTTTACTGGTAATTTCAATAATAGATTAACCATTTCACTTAGATTGTTTATTAAATCAACCGAGAATCGTAACGCGAAATAAAAATCGCAACGACAAAATCGTAACGCGATTTTATTCTCTCGTTGCGATAGTCAAATTCACATTGTGATTGTCATTTTCGTGTTGCGATTTTCATTTTTAGAAACTATTCTTCTTCTGCAAATTGAAACTTGAATGAATTGCATTACTTCAACCAAAAACAAAGACAAATAAGAAATTCACAGTGTTGCAAATTAAGTTTGAAGAATAAACTACTACTCTTTATGTTTATTATTGTTTTGGTATATCTTCACAGTGTAGTTTTTGGTATATCTAACTTAGTATGTTTATTGTTTTTGTAGAACTTTTATTCGGTTCAATTGACTTTAAGAAATAAAGTCAGCCTGGCCAAAACAATTGCGTCGAAGCTTTCACCTGCACAAAGAAAAATGTTTGAGGATACTTGCTTCGGGCCATGGCTGAAAGTACAACATCCCGGTGGAGATGCGATGTTGACACACCTGTTTCTTCAAACCATGACTAGGGATCTACCAGATACTATACAACGTCGTGATGAAGAGATATGGTTTGATTTTCCACCGGCGTATACGTGTTTTGGGCGGGAGGAGTTTTGCTTAATCATCGGTCTACGCTTCGGACACGATGATGTAGGTCGGTACACTAGACACATTACCCACCCATCATGGTTATCCCGGGTTTTTCCTGAGCTGGAGAGGCCGAATCTACACGTGGAAGACCTGACGATATTATTGAATAAGAAAGATGGTTTTACTCGGATGGATGACGTCGATGTTGTCCGAGTATGCCTTCTAATACTTTTGCATGCCGGCTTTTTAGGCAGAGAGGCCAGACAACCTATTCCGAATGATCTAATCAAATTGGTAGAAGACCTAAATGCGTGGAACCTGTTTTCGTGGGGCTCGTATTTATGGAAAGCTACATGGAATAAGTTATCGTCTGCCTTGGATGATCGAAAAAGTTTGTATGGCGATGGTTCCAAATACACTTTGACAGGCTTTATTTGGGCCTTTAAGGTAAGAATTTTTATATAATGTTTCCAAAATTATAAGTAATTATTTAACAATTACTAATGTTTTTTATTATATTGTTTGTAGATTTGGATATTTGAGGCCTTTCCCGCCATGAAGACATATGCAATAAAAACTTCAAATGATATTCCAGGGCTATTTCCTGGAAGAGGAAACGAACCTTGCAATGGGAAGATTTACTACGGTATACGACAATAAATAATGTAAGTTAACATAAATACTACCATATGTTTATAAACAAGTTATTACTAGTACACGTTTAACTTTGTTTGAGCTTTTATATTGTTAGGAGGCCAACACTCCATTACAGAGGCTGACACCCACGGAAGCTGAGCTTGCCACTGATTGGTGGCAAGCTAGTAAGCGTTTTTTTGATGGCACGGATGATGAGAAGCCTCCACTTTGGGAGCCATCACCTCACCCAGAGCCATCACCTGATCGACCCGACTATACACCTCCACAACGACAGCCATCACCTATTCTGTCGCATCATCGAGCCTCTTCTCTACCATCACCGCAAGATAGGCGACCGGCAAAGATGCCACGACGTTTATCTCCCTGTTCTCTACCTCCACGGGATGAGTTAGGGGAGTTACGTGATGAGGTTAATGCCTTGCGTGAGGAGGTCGGTACTTTACGCAAAGACGATGGTGCATGGCGTGTTGAGGTGTCTACTTTACGCGGTGAGGTAGCCGCTCTACGTGAGATGGTAGCATCGTTGCAGAATGAGGTTCATACTCTACGCAACGAGGTAAGTTTAAGATTTTTAATATTTAACTTGATGATAAATTTACTCGTAATTTCACTTAGATTAACCATTTTACTTAGATTGCTTAATAAATTCATTTGGTTGCTGCCAATACTGCTAAACTGTTTTTGTTAGTATTTGTTTTTGGTTTTGTTTTTGTCTTTTGGTTGAAGTAATGCAATCCATTCAAGTTTTCAATTTGCAGAAGAAGAATAGTTTACTTTCGCAACACGAAACTTACTTTCGCAACGCGAAAATGACTATCGCAACGCGGAAATGGCTATCGCAACACGAAATGAAAATCGCAACGACTAAATCGTAACTCGAAACACAAAATCGCATTGCGATTTTCATTTCGCGTTGCGATTTTGTCGTTGCGATTTTCATTTCGCATTGCGATTTTATCGTTGCGATTTTCATTTCGCATTGCGATAGCCATTTCCGCGTTGCGATAGTCATTTTCGTGTTGCGAAAGTAAACTATTCTTCTTCTGCAAATTGAAACATATAAGTGCTTATATAAGTGCTTACTTCTGGAATGTTATCTGATGCATTTCTATGATAGAATAATAACTTGGGTGAATACAATGCAAGTTTGAAACATATTTGTCTTTGTTTAATATCATGTCTGTTTATTTACTGATTTATGTATTAATTTTTTTTAGCGGCCCGATAAGGTGGATGCTTTACGTCGGGTTTTCCTTGCACGACGGAGTTCACGCATCAGACGGCGTGCACGTGCTATTACGTCTCCGTTCACCCCAATGGTGCGAAGACTCCGCAAGAAGAAGCCCGACTCACCTGTCATCCCTCAAGAGTCCCCTCCAATCGTTCAAGAGGCCCTTATTATCCCTCAAGAGTCCCCCCACCATTCAAGAGGCCACTGTCATCGTTGAAGAGGTCCCTCCCACCATTCCAGAGCCCGATTCACATGGGGTAATATATCGAATTATTGAGAAACCCCTACCGTTGCCGGACATGATGGATGAGAGTTGGCTCTCGTATGAGTTATCGGCTAGTACCCTTCCAGTATCTGAAGTGGAGATGAGACAATTACCGGAAACAATTCTGGATAATACCCTTTGGGCTAAGACCGCAGTTGATTTTTATCTACATGAGCGGAGCCAAGGGTGTTACACTGACATAAGCAAACTCAACGATGAGATGTATTTGTTGCTTAATCGGTCTTGGTGGGGTGTGTTATTAGGGTTGAAGACAGTGGCTATTTCGATGGGGAGGTAAGTCTTATATTTGTCTTATATATGATTTTGATTAATTTTTTAAAAAATTAATGTAATTCATTAATATATGTCTTTTTTGTAAAACAGCATATCGATGCGTGGGTGTCACGTCTTCTAATAATAAGGAAGCTTAGGAAAATTAAAAAAATTTCGCGATATACAATAATGCCGGCGGCTTTTCACCCAGTTCACTTGAAGAATCAACGAGATGAATCATTTTCGTTGGGTAATGGACAAGCTAAACTTTATCCTGCATGGTGGGTGGTCGATAAGGTTAGTGTTTATTTTTTAAATTTTTTAAAGGTGTTCATAAATAAGTGCGCAAATAAATGAATTATTACTTATGATTGCAGGTGTTTATCCCTATTTTGGAACGTCGTCATTAGCTTCTCGTCCAACTTCAGCTCTCATCCCTAAAGATAATAGTATATGACAGCATGATAAATTACATATCATTGTCCGATTTGAGAGATATTATCAAGGGATGGAGCTCTCATTTGGCTAAATTCTTGGATGGGATTAATTATTGGACTCATTCTGGACACAAGAAGCCAAAGAAGTTCAATGTCACAGTTGTCAGAGACGAGACCGCGCCACAACAATCGCCGGGAGCCAGAGGGGATTGTGGTCCGCTCGTATGCATGTGCTTGGCGCATTTGACGATGGGAAGCACAGAGTTTCTACCTCCCACCGATAGAGATAGAGCTGCAGTAGGCTTGTGGTTTCGGCATTATATGGCTAGAGCGATATATTCGAGACGCTGCCTACCTGCATCCGCGTTATGAAAGTATCCATTGTTAATTGGTAAGTCAAATGCAAGTTTTGTTAACACATATACTCCTTTTGGTTTGAAAATGTTTGGTTAAGTACCTAGAATTCAATAATTTGCTGTTTGTAGGTTTTAGATGTGTAGGAAGTCTTGTTTGAGAAAATGTTTTGGTTTCTGCAGGTTAATCCTTAAGTGAGCTGCGTGAAATGAATGTACGGGTGCAAAAGTTGATTCATTGATTCAATAATTGATGAGGAAATAAGAATTATTATTATTTTTTGGTTGTTTAATTGATTTGTAAAAAATGATTTGTAAATGTTGATTTGTTTAATTGATGAGTACATAATTCTTATTTATGCTTGTTTAATTGATTGAAATGTAATAGTTGATTTGTTGATTTTCAATCTGCATTATGTTGAAGCCAAAACAGACTGTCGCAACACGAAACTGACTATCGCAACGAGAGAATCGCAATGCGAAATGAAAATCGTAATGCGAAATGAAAATCCCAATGCAAAATGAAAATCGCAACGAGAAAATCGCAATGCGATTTTCATTTCGCATTGCGATTTTCTCGTTGCGATAGCCATTTTCGCGTTGCGATAGTCATTTTCGCGTTGCGATTTCCCCGTTGCGATAGTCAAATGAATGTCTAATAAGTGATAACAACTGAACAGATCATAGCAATGTTCAAACTCAAGTTACTAATACATGCCTAACTGAAAATGTTAAAAGTGCACACATAAAATACACATAATACAACGTTTGCATTTAAAAATCACCTAAGTTAACAGTCCCAAAAGGTAAAGCCGGTTGTGATTGGGATTTTGAAGATGATTGCGATTTTGATTGCCTTTTGCTTGACACCATATGAGCTTTGGATTTTGATGAGGATCCATAATTTGGTAGAGGAAAAGATGATTGTGATGGCACTGGTGAACCACATGTCAACCTTATGTGACAACTTTCCTTGCACCGACTACATGTCGATCTCTTCTTCTCTTCACCCTTAGACGGTATACGATCGTGACTTTTTGGTCGGCCAGGTAGCCTTCTGTCCATGGCTGGTGGCAAAAACTGTTTGTAAGTCATCTGGTATGTTCCACTCAGAAGGATGTGGAATAGGGTAGACAATCTCTCCATAAGTCTGTCGATATACTTCTGTAGTGTAGCAATCCATAGCGTATGCGCTTGAATCATCTTGGTTTAGATGAAGAGAAACTTTTATAACATGGCCACACGGATAACCAGATGTTTGCCATTTCATACAACTACACATCTTTGCATTTAGATCGACAAGCCCATTTAAGTTATTATCCAGTACTTCAAACAAAGTGTTTGAACATGGTTCAACTCTCCATGACGTTGACTTCACAACACGTTTCGTTATCTTTTTTTCTGTCCATGGTGTAACACGATGTTCCAATGTTCCTGTAAATTTAAATAAATAATACTTAGTAAAATATATGATAAATTACGAATTTAAAGAAATAATACCTGCATGGTTTCTTTTCTTGTAGTACCACTGTTGAATAGAGGCTCGAAAAAACTCCATTAACATAGTAATGGGTAATTTCCGGGAATGACGACTTAGAGCGTTGATTTATTCTGTACTATTAGACGTCATGAAACCATATCTTGCTCCAAGTTGATGTACTCTTGACCATCTTTCAAACCCGACATCTTCTAGTGTTTGAGCACACTGAGGCAAAACGCGTCTTAAACAGTTTATATACTTATTAAAATCCACTTCCTGATAAGCTTTTACAGCCTTCCAGTATGTCCATTTGTGATTTTTTATACCAGCAGACCTTGATTTTAGATTTCTATACAAATGAACACCACAAAGTCCATGAAAAGCATCTGGGAAACACCTTCTAACAGTGTTGTCAATTGAGTTTGCCCTATCGGATATGATTGTCAGATTGCTAATAGGACCTATGCAATCCCTAAGATGCCCATAAACCATGTCCATGAATTAGAGGTTTCAGATTTGCCAACCCCGTAAGCTATTGGCAATATCCCATTGTTAGCATCCATGGCTACTGCTAATAAGTTTACTCCAAGGTATCGACCTTTCAAATGTGCTCCGTCAACTATAATAACTGGGCACATGCAAGTAATAAATGAACGAATCTACAAAATAATATACATAAGAAATATAATCATTTAAATGTGAAATGCATGTAACTAACAAAAATGAGTCAACAGAATTATATTGATTTACTAACCGCAGCACCAATGGCGATAAACAGGAACTCAAAGCGTCCATCTCTATCTGTTTTTATATGAGTTACCGACCCAGGATTTTTCAGCATTAAATTGTGACAATAAGCCGGCAGTTGGGAATGATGCTTCTGGCGACCCCCTCAACAATTCCAAGGCATAACATTTGGCTCTCCAAGCTTGAGAATATGATATACTAATCTTGAACCGAGCATTCATGTCAGTCATAATTTCATGTCCCCGATATACCCTGCCATTCAAAAACATTAACTCAGCCAGAAAACCACCCAACACCTTTTTGTTTGCCTGTCTATGGTGAGGAAAAACTTGGGTTCTTAAACATGTATGTTTATCAATAAAAGTCCTAACTTGAAACATTTCGCAATCTTTTATCCTCTTTGCAATCATACGCCACGTACAGTTTTTGTCAATCATACACCTTGTTTCGAAACGATCTTTGCTTGATTTGTTAACTTTTAGTTGATAGCCATCTTCCACACATTTCGTATACAAAGCTATCTTCAAGTCTTCCTTTGTATCAAAACAATCATCTTTCTTGATACGAATAACTTTTGTGTAACAATCAACTGCTTTCTTTACCAACTCTTCTTCCGGTATCTGAAGTAATTTTGGCATATTCCAGTTATACTCCTGTGGCATTTTCTTTTCTTCGGGGACTTTTTCTTCTTCTTTTTCTTCTTCAGGATTATATGAATTACAGAATGGATGTTCAACATGTTCATTCACAGTCGTAACTTCCTCCTCATTATCATCAACAACATCTTCCTCGGCAACGGCTGTTTCATCATCAAAATTCGGGTATTGACCAATATCAAAATCATTACACGTAGGGTCTGTTTCTTCTTCTGAAACATCATCAAAATCCGAGTATTGACCAATATCAAAGTCCGGGTATTGACCAAGACCAAATTTTGAATACTGACTAGTACTCACAATTTTTTCTGTTGGCTCATCGTCGTCTAATTGGTCAATATGAAAACCGAAATTTGGTGCTGAAAGTTTATTGGGATTTGGATTAGAGAAAGGTTGTGGGTTTTGAGAAAAACTTAGTTGATTACTACCCGCTACTGACCCAACAATACTACTTCTAGGTTCAACAACATACAATGTAACATCATCACTTGAAACACTAATGTAAGCAATGAATCGTTCAACATCTTCATTGTCGGTTAACAAATAAACTTTACCATTTCTCTGATAAGATAGCCTAAATCACTTAGGGGCTCTAAATTCAATTTCTTTGAAACACGTAACATTAGAGTTTCATAAGTTAACTTTTTTAATGACAGTTTTAGTTGAAGATTCATGGGTAAAGGCATATATTGTAAAACACCATGAACATTCTCCCATGACCCTCCAAAACACAAATCTATCCAAACATGATCAACATTAGATGATTTCATGGTTGTAAATTAATTTACTAAACAAACGAGCTGCGAAATTAAGACATGTTGCCGGATGGGGAAGGATGTAGGAACGGATATAGGAACGGATGTCGCCGGAGAGAGTGATAGATGGAGATGGAATGAGTTGCGATTTAGGGTTTTAGGTTATGAGTTGTTGCTGCTGCGTAGATATATACCTAAAAAATTCTGTATTATCTCGTTGCGATAGTCAGAATCGCGTTGCGAAAGTCAATATCGCGTTGCAAAAGTCAGTATCGCATTGCGATTTTGTATTATCGCATTGCGATAGTCAGTATCGTATTGCGATTTTCCAAATTCGCATTGCGATTTACTTATTCGCATTGCGAATTGGGAAAATCGCAACGCGAATTTTGAAAATCGCATTGCGATAGCCATGGACAGAAGGCTACCTGGCCGACCAAAAAGTCACGATCGTATACCGTCTAAGGGTGAAGAGAAGAAGAGATCGACATGTAGTCGGTGCAAGGAAAGTGGCCATACAAGGTTGACATGTGGATCACCAGTGCCATCACAATCATCTTTTCCTCTACCAAAATATGGATCCTCATCAAAATCCAAAGCTCATATGGTGTTAAGCAAAAGGCAATCAAAATCGCAATCATCTTTAAAATCACAATCACAACTGGCTTCACCTTTTGGGACTGTTAACTTAGGTGATTTTTAAATGCAAACGTTGTATTATGTAGATTTTGTGTGAACTTTTAACATTTTCAGTTAGGCATGTATTAGTAACTTGAGTTTGAAAAAATGAAAATCGCAACGCGATTTTAGTTTCGCGTTGCGATTTTCATTTCGCAACGCGATTATCTCGTTGCGATTTTCATTTCGCGTTGCGATTTTCATTTCGGATTGCGATAGTCATTTTTGCCTTCAACATAATGTAGATTGAAATCAACAAAATCAACCATTACATTTCAATCAATTAAACAAGCACAAATAAGAATTATGTTCACATCAATTAAACAAATCAAATTTTACAAATCATCTTTTACAAATCAATTAAACAATCAAAAAATAAGCAATAATTCTTATTTCCTCATCTACTATTGAATCAACTTTTGCAGCCATACATCATTTTCACGCATCTCACTTCTGAGATTAACCTGCAGAAACCAAACATTTACTCAAACAACACTTTCTACACATCTAAAACCTACAAACAGCAAATTATTGAATTCTAGGTACTTAACCAAACATTTTCAAACCACAAGCCTATAAACTTACCAATTGTTTAATGAACATTTTTATAACGCGGATCAGGTAGGCAGCGTCTCGTATATATCGATCTAGCCATATAATGCCGAAACCACAAGCCTACTGCAGCTCTATCTCTATCGGTGGGAGGTAGATACTTTATACTTCCTGTGATCAAACGATCCAATGCCAAGCATACGAGAGGACCACAATCCCCTCTGGGTCCTTTCGTTTGTTGTGGTGCGGTCTCGTCTCTGCTAACTGTAATATTGAGCTTCTTTGGCTTCTTGTTTCCAGAACAAGTCCAATAATTTATCGCATCCAAGAATTTAGCCAAATGAGAGCTCCATCCCTTAATAATATCTCTTAAATCAGCCAATGATATGTAATTTATCATGCTGTCTTATACTATTGCCTTAAGGGATGGGAGTTGAAGCTCGACGAGAAGCCAATGTTTACGTTCCAAAACAGGGATAAACACCTGCAATCATAAGTAATAATTCATTCATTTGCGCACTTATTTATGAATACCTTTAAACTCAATCTAAAATAAATACTAACCTTATCAACCTCCCACCATGCAGGATAAAGTTTAGCTTGTCCATTGCCCAACGCAAATGATTCATCTCGTTGATTCTTCAAGTGAACGGCGTTAAAAGACGTCGGCATAATTATATATCGTGTATTTCTTTTATTTTCCTTAAGTTTCCTAATTATTAGAAGACATGACACCCACGCATCGATATGCTGTTTTACAAAAAAAGACATATATTAGTAACTTACATAAATTTAAAAAAAAATAATCAAATTGAAATATAAAAAAAATATAAGACTTACCCCTCCATCGAAATAGTCATTGTCTTCGACCCCTAATAATACGCCCCACCAAGACCGATCAAGCAACAAATAGATATCATCGTTGAGCTTGCATATGTCAGTGAAACACCCCTGGCTCCACTCATGTAGATAAAAATCAACTGCGGTCTTAGCCCAAAGGGTGTTATCCAGAATTGTGTCCGGTAGTTGTCTCCTCTCCACTTCAGATACCGGTATGGTACTGGCCGGTAACTCATACGAGAGCCAACTTGAATCCATCATGTCCGGCACGTCAGAGGGTTTCTCAAGAATCCTACATATGACGCCATATGAATCGGGCTCTTGAATGGTGGGAGGGACCTCTTCAACGATGATAGTGGCCTCTTGAACGGTGGGAGGGGACTCTCGAGGAATGATAGGGGCCTCTTCAACGATAGGAGTGGACTCTTGAGGGATGACAGGTGAGTCAGGCTTCTTCTTGCGGTGTCTTCGCACTATTGGGGTGTACGGAGACTTAATAGAACGTGCACGCCGTCTGATGCGTGAACTCTGTCGTGCAAGAAAAACCCGACGTAAAGAATCCACCTTATCGGGCCGCTAAATAATTAAATACAAAAATCAGTAAATAAACAGACATGATATTTAAACAGTGAAAACAAAGACAAATATGTTTCAAACTTGCATTGAATTCACCCAAGTCATTATTCTATCATAGTTCACAAAATGCATCAGATAACATTCCAGAAGTAAGCACTTATATAAACATTTAAAAGGACAACATATATAAACATTCCAGAAGAAGAATAGTTTACTTTCGCAACACGAAACTTACTTTCGCAACGCGAAAATGACTATCGCAACGCGAAATGAAAATCGCAATGCGAAATGAAAATCGCAACGAGAAAATCGCAATGCGAAATGAAAATCGCAACGACAAAATCGCAACGCGAAACACAAATCGCATTGCGATTTTCATTTCGCGCTGCGATTTTGTCGTTGCGATTTTCATTTCGCATTGCGAATTTCATTTCGCGTTGCGATAGCCATTTCCGCGTTGCGATAGTCATTTTCGCGTTGCGAAAGTAAACTATTCTTCTTCTGCAAATTGAAAACTTGAATGGATTGCATTACTTCAACCAAAAGACAAAAACAAAACCAAAAACAAATACTAACAAAAATAGTTTAGCAGTATTGGCAGCAACCGAATGAATTTATTAAGCAATTTAAGTGAAATGGTTAATCTAAGTGAAATTACGAGTAAATTAATCATCAAGTTAAATATAAAAAATCTTAAACTTACCTCGTTGCGTAGAGTATGAACCTCATTCTGCAACGATGCTACCATCTCACGTAGAGCGACTACCTCACCGCGTAAAGTAGACACCTCAACACGCCATGCACCATCGTCTTTGCGTAAAGTACCGACCTCCTCACGCAAGGCATTGACCTCATCACGTAACTCCCCTAACTCATCCCGTGGAGGTGGAGGTGGAGAACAGGGAGATAAACGTCGTAGCATCTTTGTCGGTCGCCTATCTCGCGGTGATGGTGGAGAAGAGGCTCGATGATGTGACAGAATAGGTGATGGTTGTCGTTGTGGAGGTGTATAGTCGGGTCGATCGGGTGATGGCTCTGGGTGAGGTGATGGCTCCCGAAGTGGAGGCTGCTCATCATCCGTGCCATCAAAAAAATGCTTACTACCTTGCCACCAATCAGTGGCAAGCTCAGCTTCCGTTGGTGTCAGCCTCTGTAATGGAGTGTTGGCCTCCTAACAATATAAAAGCTCAAACAAAGTTAAACGTGTACTAGTAATAACTTGTTTATAAACATATGGTAGTATTTATGTTAACTTACATTATTTATTGTCGTATACCGTAGTAAATCTTCCCATTGCAAGTTCCGTTTTCCTCTTCCAGGAAATAGCCCTGGGAATATCATTTGAAGTTTTTATTGCATATGTCTTCATGGTGGGAAAGGCCTCAAATATCCAAATCTACAAACAATATAATAACAAACATTAGTAATTGTTAAATAATTACTTATAATTTTGGAAACATTATATAAAAATTCTTACCTTAAAGGCCCAAATAAAGCCTGTCAAAGTGTATTTGGAACCATCGCCATGCAAACTTTTTCGATCATCCAAGGCAGACGATAACTTATTCCATGTAGCTTTCCATAAATACGAACCCCACGGAAACAGGTTCCATGCATTTTGGTCTTCTACCAATTTGATTAGATCATTCGGAATAGGTTGTCTGACCTCTCTTCCTAAAAAGTCGGCATGCAAAAGTATTTGAAGGCATACTCGGATAACATCGACGTTATCCATCCGAGTAAAACCATCTTTCTTATTCAATAATCTCGTCAGGTCTTCCACGTGTAGATTCGGCCTCTCCAGCTCAGGAAAAACCCGGGATAACCATGATGGGCGGGTAATGTGTCTAGTGTACCGACCTACATCATCGTGTCCGAAGCGTAGACCGGTGATTAAGCAAAACTCCTCCCGCCCAAAACACGTATACGCCGGTGGAAAATCAAACCATATCTCTTCATCACGACGTTGTATAGTATCTGGTAGATCCCTAGTCATGGTTTGAAGAAACAGGTGTGTCAACATCGCATCTCCACCGGGATGATGTTGTACTTTCAGCCATGGCCCGAAGCAAGTATCCTCAAACATTTTTCTTTGTGCAGGTGAAAGCTTCGCCGCAATTGTTTTAGCCAGGCTGACTTTATTTCTTAAGGTCAATTGAGCCGAATATAAGTTCTACAAAAACAATAAACATACTAAGTTAGATATACCCAAAACTACACTGTGAAGATATACCAAAAACAATAATAAACATAAAGAGTAGTAGTTTATTCTTCAAACTTAAATTTGCAACACTGTGAATTTCTTATTTGTCTTTGTTTTTTGGTTGAAGTAATGCAATTCATTCAAGTTTCAATTTGCAGAAGAAGAATAGTTTCTGAAAATGAAAATCGCAACATGAAAATGACAATCGCAACGCGAATTTGACTATCGCAACGAGAGAATAAAATCGCGTTGCGATTTTGTCGTTGCGATTTTCATTTCGCGTTGCGATTCTCGGTTGATTTAATAAGCAATCTAAGTGAAATGGTTAATATATTATTGAAATTACCAGTAAACTAACCCTATCATCAATTTCAATATGAAAAACCTAATAATAATGCAAAAATTTCAAAAAGAAAATAATTAAAAAAACTAACCCTCGGTGGTTGATTTGGTTGATTTTCCATTTCTGATTGTGAGGGTGGCTCTGAGAGATGGAGATAGACGGATTTCGCCGGAGATGGGGATGGATTTCGTCGGAGATGGGTGAGAGAGTGAGAGATGGAGATGGGACTGAGTTGTGATTTTAGGTTTTAGGTTATGAGTTGCGATTACGGGATATATTGTGGACGGTTCAGTGTTCCAATATATTAATATTCGTGTTTGGAATTTGAAAATAAAATACGCGTTTCTATACTAATGGCGCTTTAAAATCGCATTGCGATTATGTATTATCTCGTTGTGAAAGTCAGAATCGCATTGCGAAAGTCGGTATCGCGTTGCGAAAGTCATTATCGCGTTGCGATTTTGTATTATCGCGTTGCGATAGTCAGTATCGCATTGTGATTTTCCAAATTCGCGTTGCGATTTACTTATTCGCATTACGAATTGGGAAAATCGCAACGCGAAATTGGAAAATCGCATTGCGATAGTCATAATCGCGTTGCGAATCTGGAAACTGATTTGCGATAATGGAGATCGCGTTGCGAATTAGCGATCGCATTGCGATTTTGTTGGTCATTTTGGCAAATCCGGAAAAAGTTGGTTAAAATCGTATATTATATGGGATTTTTGGTCACTGAGGTTATTTTCTCTTATTTATTTTATTTATCGAATTTTCTAAATTGGGGCCCCACTTTTGTAAATGATTATGGTTTCATACTTTGTGTAAATATTTTAAAAGTGAGTATGGTTTTAAAAAAAATGGTCAGTTAATTCAGTGATTCCGTGTGACACTCGAATCACTTATATTTGTGTGTTACAAAAGTTGTCTGAAATATGATTAGATGTGTTTATTGATACAAATTGCTTACTATGTTCCTATTTAGATGCAAAATGTGTATGTCTCGACTAATTTAATAAGAATATTTTGTGTGTATGTCTCGACTAATTTAATAGGAATGTTTTGTATAAGTGTTTTATATGACTATATGATAATTAAATGATGGTTAGTATGCATACATATATGATATAAAAGGGAGACATTTTTCATGATGTTCATATGTATATAAAACTAAAAGCACTTTGGTTTTTAATATATTATATATTTTTAAATTTGGCCAACTAATTTGATCAAAATATTGTTTTAACCCATCCACCACATCCTCAGCCATCTTGAATTGTCATATTAACGTCGTGAACTGTCATGTTAGCATCGTAATAGTCAAGGTTTGATTCTATTGATCAAAGGATAAATTAATTTTTTTTCTCGACTTGAGGGTCATATTGAATGCATAAAAGAAATTTAGGGTCACACTAATTTTTTTATTTATAAAAGTTTAAGGACTTTAAATATCGGATTATTGAAGAGAAGGGATTTTATTTGATTGTCGTTGATCAAATTATGTTAATTTTTTATCATGTATTTAAAATTTATATTTTAAAAAATATTCCATATATAAACCATATTAACTTGATGAATAAATTACATCAATCCCTTATTATGTATTTTAAAAAATTAATTTATTTTTATTATTATTTTTGAACTTGTTAATTTTTTAAAATATTCATATATACAAATATTAATGATATGTAGTTTCTTCTATTGGTCTTCCTTTTGATTTACAGTTCTTCAAGTTTCTTTGATTTCTTACTTCAAGTTTCTTTGATTGTTTCTTGACGTGTAGTGATTTGTATATAATATTTCATTGACTTCTGGATATGTATCAAATGAGAATACATTAAGGGGAGTTTTACATTTGACCCTTTAGATCTAGTAATAATCGTTCATGGTTATATTTTTTTAATGATTATTTTGAATATATGTATGATATTATTTTACATAATAATAATTATAATTAATAAACTCTACGTACATATTTCCACAAAAAAAGATATTAATGATGAGTTAGCATGACTTCTTTATCATAATTTAAATTGATATGTTCCATATACCTTAGCCTGTCCCGTTCAAACGAGTAATTATTTTATTATAAATCAATTTGAAAGTTGAGGAAACGAAATCAAAAGCATAGTTTACCGAATATATATATATATATTATATATATTACTTCTCAGACAATATCCACAACATACATCTGAATTCTGTAATATCAAGGCTGATGAAGTTCAAATGTCCTAAATACAACATAACACAACACTAGCTTAACGGACAACTATAATTACCTGGGAAAATATTGCAGTAAGGCCACTCTATTTTTCGAAAATTTCAGTTAGGAGGGCCACACATCAGTCAATTACTAGTTTATCAACAAAAACTGGGAAATGGCAACGCAGCATGTTGCTAATAGCATTCCCAGAAGAAAACCAGTAGCAACTCTTAGTTTTATATGATAAAAGAGGGGTCTTTCGGCAGCTATCTGTCCATTAATCAGCTCTGTCGATCAACGTGATCAGTATGGGAAAAGGATTGGCGATGGGTCTCTCTGCAACTTCCCGTCGCACAAATCTAGTTTTTTAATCTTTTCTTCACACCAAAACAACTGCTCTTTACTGATCTTTTCCATTCTGAGAACCCGGTATACAATCTTGACATCGATGAGACCAAACAACAACAGAACATCTTCTGGTGTCGGTGGCCAGGATTTCTTTTTCCCCTTTCCTCTTTTTACGCAGTTCCTTCAGCTTCGTCGCTTTCTGCAGATAGAAATGAAAACATTGTAGAACATAGTAGATTATAATGAATAAATCCATATGGTTGGTCGTTCGAACATCACCATTCCCTTCACTGATGAGACATGCAAGTTCGAATGTGTCAAATATGGAGCCAGGAACAAAAATGGAAAATGAAGAATTGGAGCAGCATATTCGAATACAAATAATGCAGGTGATGGATTATAGTACAGTGATGTCGGTAGACCAAAAACTTGCATAGATCAAAGTAAGCGAAGCAAATAAACTACTGATAATGAAAGGGCAGAATTGATCGCAATTCCGCGGAACGTAATGGTCCATATAATTAGTTCGAAGTGTGGTACCGCAGGCGGTGCTGTGTAATCAAGCGGTATCCTAGGAGATGATATGGATACTGTAGAATGAAGTTACCTTTTCTAATAAAGATTTAACTTGTTGAAACGGGGTAGCCATTGGATCTGATTTCCAAACAAAGTATGTTTTTTCTTGTCAATTTTTACAAAAAGCTGGAATGTAAGGATTACGCTCTCGATAATCCTGATGATATCAGGAGCGAGAGCCAAATAATCGGATTCGTCTTCCACCTTAGCCTTATGATCCATACCTGGAAAGATTAAAAAAAATAGTCAAGATATCAAAGTTTCCTACTTTTTCCCGATCAATCCTCAAAGATTTACCTTGTATGTTTGGAATTTGAAGAAGCTTAGGCAAAACATGCCTAGAACGGGCATATATTTCAGCTCTAGGACCATCCTGAAAAGGTTCATTTTCGATGAACCTTTGCAATAAGACTTGGAACTGTTGAAGGAGCTGAGCACTGTGGTTGTAACAAGCAGGATTATCAGGTTGGCACAAAACTAACTGGCTAAGTTGTGTGTATTGGCAATGAAATGCCTCCCAAGTTAAGCAAATTTGAGCCACATATGCTACCTCAAGGCCATGATACGGGTCGTTCGTTGGCTGCTGCAGGTGCTCGGTTTCTTCATCGGGTTCTTCAATCTTCTTCAAGGAAAGGCAACTAAGAGGTGATGCATGTTTCTTGGATGCAGATTTTGGTGAAGGATTTATAGAGCCTGTAAGCCAATCGATTATTCACAATGAGAATTCAAGATTCGGTACTAACATAAAACTACAACGCTAAAACGAAACAAAAAGGTGAAAACATCTCCCAAGAAATTCCAAAAAAAAAAGAATGACAAGTCTACTCTAAGCAACAGCATAAATAAAAAAAACCTTTCAAGTGCCAACGATCCTACAGTTAGTTCTATTCTTCTCGGAGGAAAAATATTTTAAGAAAAAAGAACCCTGCCAACAATAGTATTCTTCGTTTATGCATCTACTTGTGCTGTACGATCTCATCAAGACAGAAATATATCCGATTCATGGACATAAAAGGCAACAGCCTGAAGGCAAAGAGTGAAGTGGGAAATAGTAAACAAACAAAAAACAACCGAGTATGAAAGCAATTAACCTTTGATTGATCCCTATTCCCACCATTTAAGTGAACCATCACAAATCAATCGTATTGAATTCCGGAAAACTCTTTTTGTGATACGAGCAGATGGCATTGCTCAATAAACCAATACTCAACATAGTTGCATTCCACGCAAGCTGATTCGTTTTAATAATTCAGACATTATTGTTTCTCAAGTAACATGAAGGAGACTTGTATCACAAAAAGATAGGGGTGACACTTGATACCTGAACCGTGCCTCATCACAACTAAGACCTTATACCTTTGGACATCTTAAATTATTCTTCATGCTAGTGCAAAACAAAAGGCACATATAATTAAAAATTTCAATCTATCAGGAAACAACAAATCCACCTAATATGCAGCTAACAATATGTTCCTGCTGTATTAAAGGTAGTAGCTCACTTCAGACGGCATAAGATTCAACAATGCAACAGAGAAAATGGAAATATTTACCAGTATTCTTGATCTGCTGTGCATTATCCTATCAAAGAACAGCATTCGCTCGCAATACTTCTCATAAACAGCATCAAACCCACCCCACCATTGTCTCCCCTCTGCTTCCACATCCCTCCACTCGCTCGAGCTGGTCTCACTGGCCTCGGCTTCGTCATCCTCGAGGTACAACTCTTCTTCTTCCTCCTCAGGAATCAACACCATAAAACTGTTTCTTCTTAGTTCTTTTAACCTCCTCTTCACCTCATTTGTTATAAAATCGTCATCTTCTTCATCCTCAACGTCGGATGCCGCAAGATCAGGTTTGGATGATCCATCTAAACCAATGTCACCATCACCATTATCATCTTTCAGTTCTTCTGGTTGTGTCACATTATTATCGACCAAACCCTTCTCAGGATCTGGCTTCTGGACTTTCCTTAACTTCTTAATTTTCAAAAAACCCATCTCTTTTACACTTTCTAGCAGTCAACTAAGAATTAAACCTCTAGATCCCAGAATTATACCAAGATACTAAACAACTTTTTAACTAAACAAAAATATTCTGATTCCAGAAAATGTAAACAGCTTTAGTTGGACAATGTCAGACCTTGAAGCCAAAATTCCAAGTGTAAAACAGTAATTTGAGCCCCAAAATGTCCAGCAGTAAAATCCAGACTCTTTGAACATAATTTAAGCAACTGATGAACTAAAAACCCTGAAGATCTCACCTTAAAACAAGAAAATCAACTGAAAAACTTCTTTAGATGCACTCGATACATGAGCAGAAGCACTTAAACCTTTGAAAACAGCAATGCAGCAGAGACATTCACTTCGAAACTTCCATTAAACCCTTAAATCCTCAACATTGAAGCTTGCAAAAGAAGAACTTCCCGGCAACTAAGAAAAAAATGCCAGCTTGGAAACTCCAAATATTTTCAAAGATTACCTTTTTACTATGACCCAAGTCCCCAGCAAGAGAATTTACGGTGACCAAAAGTCCCCAGAACCCCAAAGCCATGAAAGCTATAAAAGTGAAATCACAAAGTGTTTTACTTCAGCACTTCACTCACTACTCAGTATAAAGGTCAGATTTTTGTAACCGACAATACGCTTGTAGAAGAAAGTATCAATGGAAAAAAAAAACCCCACAAAGTTTCCCGTTTTTTTTAAAGTAAAAAAAAATAGTAGTTTTCCATACCACAGTTAATATACAGTTAAACAGATAATTTACTGAAAATATTATTATTTTTTAATAATTTAGTTAAAATGTTATTTAAAATATTATTTTTTTCAAAAATATTAATATTAGACACTACTTAAAAAGTTATTTTTTTTACTGATTTTTAAATAAAAAAATTAATATTTTCGATAAAAAAATTATGATGAATAGAAATTTATCAAAAATATTTCTCAACCCATTCATTATTTTTCCATTTAAAAATACAAAGACTCACGAGAAATTCTATGAACAGTGAAACATAAACTATATTATATAAACCCAAGGTTGCATTATTGAAAGAGAAAAGAACTGTAATCTGTAGTGGTGTGATGAGTGAGGGGACAACAGTGATTTACTATTTTGTGGTGAATAGAAAAGAGTAATAAATGTCAAACTATCCTTCTAAACTGTTCTTTCATCTTCACTTTCTAGCCTTTTCGGAGGCAAATGTAGTTCCTTTTAAATTAAACCGATAAAAAATTAAATAATAAGAGGGGAGGGTTAAATTAGAACATTTCTTTATTAAGTTAAGTAAAAAATAAAGAAAATATAAGCACGAGAGCCAAGAAACAGTGAGAGAATATAGTCAGAAATGAGTAAGATAAAGCACCAACTCTCTGCAACTTAAGCAATGCCCCCGCCAAATCTGGCCTTCTTTTATTAGTGCGTCTTTTTACTGTTTCCCCATTTTACACCTAATTTCTTTATTTAAGAAAAGGGGTAACTATATATCTAGTCCTAGTACTTTTTATTTTTCTTTTGTACACAAATTAATTATTTTTTAAAATCATATATAAAATTTAATTTATATTTCATTTTACATCTTACCATTAAAAATATATTGATGTTTCACGATAAATTAATATCACATCATCATTTAAAAATTAAAAAAATATCACGTCAACTATTTTATTAATTTTTAAATATTAAATAACAAATTAAAATATAAATTAAATGTTAGGCATAGTTTTAAATAAACATGAAATTTAAGCGATAAAACAGAACATAAGTAATGGTTCAAATATTAAACTTGGTGTTTACTCTTTAAAAAAATATTTTCTCGTCCTTTTCCTTTCTCCAACTTTCTTAGGCCCTCAGACCCATTAATTATCAGTCAGACATCATCTCTCTTAATATTGATAATTTAGCACCCTTTCTGACAATGCGCGGATCACCATTTACGTCTTCGTGGGGTTTTGTCCGAGCTAACTCAACGTAAAGTAAGGCATGAATCGACATCTGTTCTTTCGCTGAACCTATGACATATACAGATGACACGGATCATGAAGCGTGTCTTCCATGGAAAATGTTGACATGATGCCACGTGAGAATGCACATTTCAAAGTGCACACCTTCCAAAGTTCACATCATCTCTGAAAGCATTTTAAAAAATATACTTTAAAAAAATTAAAAATAAAACTATATGGACTAACATCGTAATTTAATATATATTAGTTTCATGAGTTGAAGAGCTTAACGGGTTTAGCTTATATAGGCATATTGGAGTGTTTACGCTATATTTCTTGACAATGTGTGATAAAAGCTAAAAGGTATTTCCTTAACTTTTTTATCTTTATATCTAATGAATTTACTTATACACTATTGTTAAATTACATTACGTTAATATTTATTATTAAGGTTTATATTAATTAAGATTATATATTTTTATATGTTAAGGTTTATGTATCTTCAAGGCTTGTATACCCATGTAAGTCAACGAGGTCGACAATGTTTGGATTCAAGTTGATGAAAAATCTCAAAATTGTATCTTTTTCTTCTGTGATGTTAGCACGGTTCATTAAGGATTGTATCTCTTTGTAGTAGTCTTCGACTAAACTTCTTCTTTGTCGAAGTCAATGAAATCGTTACTTAACTTCTCGAATGTAGTGTGTCGGAAGAAAAAGATTTCTCGTAAAACCTTTAAATGTTGTGATTGCTTGAATTCAACTATCTTCTATAGCCTATGGTTATTATAATTTAGTTCTAATAATTTTTGGTTCTTTTATGATTAATGAATATATATATATATATATGTTCGAGTATTTTATTGCATTGATTTCTCGTAAAAGATTTTATTTTTGTGTAATACTATTAACCACATGTGTATATCTTTTAATCTAATATTTTCTTTAAGATATTACATCAAAGTCAAATTCAAGTCTATCGTTTAAGAAAAGAATGTAATATTTTAATTTCATGTGTCATAACCATTTAAATTCAATATTATTTTAAAAAATGATTATGAGTTTTATTTGCAAAATTGGGTGATTTTGAATTGATTTGTATAAAATTGAAAGGAGTCGCCATCGACCTTTGAGTTATGTAGGCCGAATACCTAAAAACGTCTTTTAAAAATAATTTTAAGAAAAAAAAATCATTTTTAGACAAAAAATTGGTTTGTGTTTACCAAAGATTCGATTAAAACGAATTCAGAAGTCGGTTACGAGTGGGGAATGATAAGCATCCCCACAGCGCCCAAAAACTTATACTGAATCGCTTACACGTCGTCGTAAATGGTGGAAATTTTGAATTCACATCGATAATTAAAGTGTGTTCCCTTTATTAAAGTTAATTTAATTTACTTCGAATTAATAACTTAAAGAAAATTCTTTGACTAGATAAGAAATCTCAAAATTCGCAATCCTCCGTCGGGAAAGCTATTTCGACTACTTCTTATATGTAAAAGAAGATTCTATCTTCGATTATATAACAACGCAAATCGAATAATAAATAAAAATGAATATTGACATTTGCATGAAATAAAATAAATTAATCAGAAAGCATTGAATCATTCACATAAAAATATTTAATTAATAAATAAAATAGATTTAGTTCAAGTCCCAATTTATTCGAACGTCGTATCGAATTGTATCACTTCGATCAAGTGATACTTTCCACGTCCGTTCAACAAATACGTGCTCTTGAAATTACTCAAATACATTATAACTAAATATGGAAATAATATGGGAATAAATACAATCGTAAATGTAAAAAAATAATTACAACAAATAATAAAAAATTACATTTGTTTAATGTTATACAAATAAATACATAATATGCTAAATGTATAAATTCAAAAGGGATAAAAACAAAACAATATAAAAATTTACACATCAAAATGTAAATAGCCAAATAAACATATTCAAAAATTTAAGGGACCAAAATAAAAATCACAGAAACGTAAAGGACTAAATTGCAAAAATAGAAAGTTAAAGGACCAAAATAGCAAAACAAAAACTTAAAGGACTAAATTAGATAAAACAAAAAGTTAAAGGACTAAAATAGCAAAAAAAACTTAAAGGACTAAAATAGTAAAAAAATAGAAACTTAAGGGACTAAATAACAAATATAGACATTTAAAAGACTAAAATAACCAAAAACAAAAACTTAAGACTAAAAAGGTATTAACAGAACTAAAAGGGCTAAACAATAATTACAAAATAAACCAGAGACCAAATTGCGAATGTTAAATAATAGAGGCACCATAAATGTAAATAACCCATAAATAATATTTTAGGACTAAAATAAAATGAATAGAAACATAAAGGACTAACATGAAATAAAAACAAATTTCTATATCAATCGAAGTATTTAACGAAAATATTAAAACATATACATAGTGACTAAAACATAAAAATAGAAACATAAAAGGCTCGAATACAAAATATTCCATTTCATTTCAGACCAAAATCAAGAAAGTTGATAATATCGAAAAAAGGTCGAGATCAAAATAGACCCAAGAGAATCTAACATGACTTCAGTATCGCGCCTTAGAATGATATAAGTTGCTAGGAATTTTCCTCCATTCTGTGGAAGGAATGCCCCAGCGTTTAACGACGTTTCTACATTTGAGGAATCCATTAAAAAATTTGAACGGTTTACAAGAGAAGTTGAAACGGATGAGGATCCAGAGGATATTCTGAATCTAGTGATAATTATGAGGTTTCTTCAGGTAAGCTTAAATAATTGAGAAATATTTAAGTGAAGAATTAAATTGTTTAAAGTATTATTAATTTGAGTAAGAGGAAATGAGTAAGCGGTAAATACATTGACCGCTAAAAGTTTATAGAAAATTGAGTTATTAGTAGATCAAATGATTATGAGTTTGTTTGAGAATAAATGTTAAGTTTTATGGATTTGATAGAGATACTTTTAGAAAGTAATTTGTGAAAATGGATTTTTTACTCATTCCATGCTACAATGAATTATTATTTAGAATTGAAGTTAATTCTTGAGAACTTTGAAAATTGTCAAGTTCATAATGATAGGAAAAAGAGTAAATTTTGTTTACTAGTTCAATTTTAGCATTAACTGCTATTAAGTTATTGCTACAAAGTTGTCAAGTCTTCTT